GACTCTTACCCTACAGGTCTACAGTTCGAATCTTCCTACAGCCTACAACCTACGGTGACCTACTTACCACTGGCTATCGTGCAGGTCACGGGTTCAACTCCAGGGAACTGTACAGATACTGTACACAGGTAGGCTGAGGTCAAGGGATCGACCCCTGGGATCTGCATCGGCTACTGCCAAAGGTGAAAACTGTTTCAATCAGCCTTCCACCACTGCAATCAACCCTCAATTGTCCACCGGCCTAAATCAGCACCGGCCTCCAATCTCCCCCTTCACAATGCAACGAGAGCACGCTCTGATATCAATGCAATGAACCGGCTTGAAATCAACCACAGTTGCAACTTGCATCACACCAAACACTCACACAACATTCGCTAAAGCATCTAGATGGCAAATTAGCCAACACTGAGATGAAAACACTTCAAGCATTTGGTATTATACAAGTATTGAGTTCCGATCACAAACGGCTATGGCCGCAACCAAAACCAACATTTTTTTATTGTTTAGTGTTGGGGCTGCCCCGGTCCTGGGCGGGACCTTGCCAAGCCGGGCACTCTGGGTAGCCGGAAAGGTGATAATAATTTGAAATTATATTTAATTATCAAGACAACTTTTTTCTGCTCCGCACACTGTCGTTGCATATGCGTCCCTCCGCTGGGCACATCTTGGTTGCATACGTGTCCTAGGTCACACATCTGCAAATTGGTCCTTGGACCGGCAAGGAAATTACATGTTGATCCTTAGGGCCTGAAAATGCTGGTAAATGAATTGCCGTCATATTTTCTGATCGTTTGGCTGCCTTTTTTTGTTTGTTTTTGCAGGAACAATTTCCTGGAGGAGGCGGCGGGAATGAGAAGTCTAGTGAAATGCTTGAAACGCATGCGATTTCTAGAGGTCCTTGATCTCAGTGGAAATCCACTTTCCGACAGTGGAATCGGGTAATTTACATTTACAGTTCTTATCTCATTTTTTCTTCTTATGCAAGGAAATAAGCAATTCGAACAGCGATAAACCAGATCGTGACATATCAAGAAGACCAGACATCATTGAGCGAAATCGAAAGCAGGAGTCAATGCGTGATGCACACGAAATAGAAACGATAAAAACACCGAAAGTCTCTTGATAAAGAAAGCCCTTCCAAGTCCTCCAATGCGTGATGCACACGAAACAGGAACGAGCAAAACACCGAAAGTCTCTTGATAAAGAAAGCCCTTCCAGCGCCTGCAATCATCAATGCAACAAGGATGTAGCCCTCCTATAGCCGTCCTGGATGCCGACTTTACCTTCTATTGCTCCTATCAATCTAGTCCACCTATGCCAACCACCAGTTTCACATGTCATCAACCTAATGTCGCTCGAAGACACTGATCGGACAGCCTGCCTTCGTCAACACCAGGTACGTGCCTCGTTCACACCATTTCTCTCCCCTGTCCTCCACCCCTTGTTCCACCAAGGACCTCCCTGACAAGGCCCTTCAGACTTCCACCACTCGGTCTCTGGAGCACTCAGCCTGGCTATGTCTGGTGCTCTCCCTTCTTCTTCCTCGCTGCCACCGCAGCAGCCTCCCACGGGCACAGCGCTCGGCTACTACTCCAGCAGCGCTGCCACATTGGCACAATGCCCGAATGTGTGAGTCTGGGCGGCCGCCATGCTGGATGAAGAGCCTCAGCGGGCCACGCCCAGGCTGTGCCCTGTCCCAGTTGCCTTGTGCGCGGGCCCTTCTAAAATGTGCAGGCACTGCCAGGCAGGCTCCTAGGCTGGGCCAACCAGTTAGTTGAAGATGCTGCACACGTGCTGCAACTATCCGGGGCCCAATTTCTGCTCACGTTAGCTAGCCTGCTCTCAGGCCCAGCTGCATTTCGGAAAAGCTCGCCTGGCAAGCCCGCCTTCACTTAGGTCAGGCAGGGCCTCTTTTTGCGTACTCGAGGTCCTGAATCCCTGCATGACAATTGGAATGCATGCTTTTTCTTGAAAATTTAAAAAGAGACAAACGGAACGCATGCAGTTTCTGGCTGCCCTTGATCTCAATGGAAACCGGCTTTCGCGGATCTCAATGGAAACCGGCTTTCGTGGATCTCAATGAAATTATGGCTATCCATTTTCTGACATCATATAATGAGATTATAATCACATAATTCTATGAATGTCAAATTTCAAATTTGGTGATCACTGATCAGTTAAATAATTAAATTACTAGCAGTTTCTCACTCTCTCACTTTTTCGCAGTCATTTTTATGTTAACTTTTTTGAAGTTTTGATTTTTTTGTTTAATATTTTTTTTCTCACTGCGTAACAACACACCATTGCTACCTTGGACCCAAACATTGTCTGGACTGGGTCCAACCATCTGGATCTGAGCGGGACCAGGGGTTGCCCTAAAATAATATTTCTCGTTTCTTCTTCTTCTTTTTTTCCCCTCGAGTTTGCTTGCGAATTTCAAACTGACCCTCGGGCTAAATTTGTTTGTATTGCAGAAATGCAGCAAATGCTGCATAACGTTTTTTTTTTTTTTTCTCCCCAGATTCTCTGACACTCTTTTTTTTTTTTTTCCTCGATTTATGCGTGTCATCCTTGCGCAGGGGCCATGCTAATCTTCTCTGTATCGTTCCAATTTTAACGGATGTCCCGAAGGACAGATTCTCTGACACTCTTGAAAACTTGAAATTTGAAATTTCAATAGCGTTACAGCGATGACTTCACTCGAGGAGAAAGGAGCCTGAGAGACTACACACAAAGCAACTTTTCAGTGCTCGCATTCCGCCTTGGCCCGTGCTGCATGGCTCGCAAGAGCGCGCCGTATCGTAAGCTGGCAGAAAAGTTGAAGATAACAACTTTATATAGACTCTAATGAGATAGCTGAGAATTGTGTGAAGACGGTGCGCAGTACTAGTTACTCGTCCCGTCCTGCCACTTTCGCTGAGCACATCTCTGCTCAACAGTCTCGTCTCGCCTTGTCCCCAGATCCCATCAGCTTCCGCATACTTGACCTTCTTTCCTTGTAATTTTCACATGAATGTGGCTCTTCCCTTGGTCCAGGTTTGTGCAAACTAATGAGACTCTAATGCTTTCAGGATATGATAATTGTGGTCTAAGTTCGTGAGCTTACTCGTCCCGTCAAACGTACTGGCTAGGATCTGTGTATCTATGTTGCTGAACAACCTCAAGCTCAGCTCATCGATTTTCGGTGCGTTCAGCGGCTTCAGCCCCCTTACGAACTGTTTGGTGGCATTTATGAGAAACCCATATTGATTTCTTGCGAGTAAAAAGTTTTGTGCACTTGTCCTTCGGAACCCGCTCAAATTGAGAAATGGTCCAAACAAATAGTCAAAAAGAAAGCTTACGCACATAGCCACACACACAAATTGAGAAATGGTCCAAACAAATAGTAAAAATAATTTAAAGAAGCTTATGCACATAGCCTGTACCTTAAATGCCATCAAATGGAGGGCCTCCAGCCTTCAAATGTTCTAAACTTCTCACTATCTTTCTTCTCTCTGCTCACCGGATCTTTGTTCTTCGGTAGAGCATAAATGACTTACTATGCGTGTCCATACTTTGGTTTGCGTTTCCAAGGCGTAGGCTCTTCTGAAACAGTTTTCACCTTTGGCAGTAGCCGATGCAGATCCCAGGGGTCGATCCCTTGACCTCAGCTTGCCTGTGTACAGTATCTGCACAGTTCCCTGGAGTTGAACCCGTGACCTGCACGATAGCCAGTGGTAAGTAGGTCGCCGTAGGTTGTAGGCTGTAGGGAGATTCGAACTGTAGACCTGTAAGGTAGGAGTCCAAGTAGAGTCCAGAGGCCTAGCTTTAGTCCTTCTAGAAGGTCGGCAAGTGGTCAAGTGGTGAGTCTAAGGTAGGCCCACGTTTTCAGACGAAGACAAGTGGCAAGGTCAACAGGTAGGACCTCAGTGCAACTGCACTGAGTGGACGGTACCACTGCCTACAGTCAGCAGAAGGGTCTAGAGAGTCCCAGTCCAGTCCAGCAAGTACCACAGGGGGACTGTGAGCACCAAGGGCCGATGGCAAAGGGCAGACCAACGAATTTCTGAAGTATAAATCAAGAGGCAGCGCCCAGCCATTCATTCATTCCTGCGTGAGCCATGCAGAAGCGCTGCCACAGCGACTTGTGCAAGGAGGTCTGCAGATGAGCCCGGAGGACGCAGTGGGCTAGAGAGAGGGAGTTAGCATAGCGATAGGGTAGATGCAGCGACAGCTGCCATAGCGGTAGTTAGTAGTGAGTGTGTGTGTGTGTTCGAGTGTTAGAGTGATGCGTGTGGGATATCCAGGGTGATCCAGTGTATGTGAACAGTGAGATGTTTGGGCGCTGAAGTCGCCATAGCCAATGGCTGTCTCTTATACACATCTAGATGTGTATAAGAGACAGCTGTTTACATGCATGAAAAGTGTGTTTGAGAACAAGTCTGATTGCACTTCTTCTGTAGACCTTCCTGTGACTCCAATAGTCAATGAGCTTACGATCCAGCACATCAAATCTTCTATCATGATGCTAAGTTTGGATTTCTTTGAAGCTCAACCAGGATGTGTTTCTCAAAACACCGACGATTTGAGTAAAAAGTTCATAAAAACATATCACGTGTTACGTGTTCTCTCCCTCAGTGAGTAGATGGACATTCAATGAACCTTTCCCCAGGGTTGCGGTCTAAATGGCGGACATATAAACCCGGTCAATCGGGCTCAATCGCCTTTTCCACTTGAGTACGTCATAGATTCGATACACTTGTTCCCTGAGGTCGCTGTTCATTTGTGTTTGTTTGCTTGTTTTCATCCATGCATTCGCCACAGTAATAACAATGGGCCTCACCACACCACTGTCGAGACGAAACGAGTAAGGGTGCATGCTCGTGCAAACAGTGGCAAGATGCATCCGTTAACCGATGCATCTTGCCACTTTCTGCGGAAGATTCACTTGTATTTTTTTGTTTGTTTGACGTCTCTTGGTTCTGATATTGGCGAGAATCCAAGTCGCATCCTCAACTTTCTTTTCAGTGTTTCACTGACTTCAACATAACTATATGGAAAGGGTTCTTTCATCTTGAAGTTCTTTGAGTCACACATGATGACGTGGTCCGTAATTTGATTTCACTGATTCTCCAGCCTATCGAGTCATCATGTGTGACTCGAAGAATAACATCTGAAAAAAGGCATGTTTATTCACTTTCCTACCTCTCTTCCATCCTGCAAAACCACAGCCAAACGAACGGGCTTTTCGAAGTATCAGCGGAGGAAAGAAGACCCTGTTGAGCTTGACTGTAGTTCGACTCCGTGACATGGCAGGTCAGGTCAGGTTTGTTCCCTTTGCACTCTTCCTATGTTTGTTGAATTATATCTGCAACTGTTCTCTGTCTGGTAAACTCTACCCTGCATCTTCTAATAGCCGGCCGGGTCGTTGGTTATTTGAACTTATTTGAAGTTATTTTCCTCTCAATCATTACCTGTCTGATGACTCTGATAGACATTTCGCAAGTTTTCTCATTGCCTTCAGATGCGATGCCATGGGATGGATGTCTCAGTCTGCAGGCAGAAGGTTTTTTTTTTTTTTTTTTTTTTTTTTTTTTTTTTTTTCAGGCAGAAGGATATCCCTGATGAACGCAGGTGTTCGTTTGCCTTTTTTCCTTTGTTTTCCCCTTTTTCTTTCAAAATTCCTTCTCCTCGTTTCCGCCGTATCTTTTGATAATTTATTAATTTTGTTATTTCCAACTGGTCTGCCATTTTGTTTCGAAAATTTCATGCATCCCTCGAGGTATCTTAGCTCCCTAGGTTGGATTCGAAATTCGAGCTAACGAACGACCGATTGCTTGGCACTGCCTTCGACTGGTATGCAATAGTCGAAATTTTCTCGAAAACCATTGTGAGTTGGTGGCGTTAAATTAATTAATAATTTAATAGATAATAATAAATGAAGTTTAATAAACACACTGCTATATTCCATGCTTGTGGGTGTCGTTCGTTCGGTTGTGGTGGTGCTTCCAGGGCTCTGGTTCCATTCCTTGAGAGTCTGAGGGAGTCGGACTCTTCGCTGCTGGAGCTCAATGTTTCTGATTGTGAGTTGTCACTGAAAGGAGGAGAGGCCTTGCTCAGTGCGCTTGCCTTTTCGTCACACTCTGTGCAGATTTTATCAATATCCAACAACTTCCTTGGCAGGTAAGAATCAGTTACACCGTCTACCCGTCCGCCTGCCTTTCGTCTCGTCTGTTCCTCTCTCTCTCTCTCCCTCCTTCCATCCATCCATCCCCCCATCCATCCACCTGTGTGTCCACCCACCTCCTGCCTGCACACATTGCTCGCGTTTGTATACGCGTCCGTCCCATTATGAGTTAGATGTGTTGCAGTAATCGGCTCCTGCCAAAAAAAGACAAAAGGAAACAAAGACAGAAAGGTAGGTTCCTATGTAGGTAGATGTATACTATGTCCATATTTATGTAGGTATGCACTGTGTAGGCATTTTGAGTCTACTTACATAGTAGATATCAGATATCTGCCTACATAGTATCTAGTTGTGTAGGTAGGTGGGTACGTAGGTGTATGTAGGTGGGTAGGTCCTAGGTTTAGGTCCCATGGACATGACGGAACAGCCGGTTTTTTTTTTCCGTCTTGAAGTTTGAATTTCTTAATGACTGGATTCAAGCAGTTGGCATTCTGAAGAACTATATTCTGAACCTTATAGCAGTCAGATTCGTGTCCTTTGCTGCGTTTTGTGGGGTGTGTATGTGTGTGTGCACAGGACCATAGGGGTGTGTGTGTCTGCACAGGAGTACAG